GCCCACAGCTCATCATTCACATCATGGCCGACGAAGGTGATGCCGATGAAACATCCGTCCGACGAGCCAGCCATGCAGGTATGCAACTGATTAGCCAAAGTTTCACATAAGGTCACCAGCTCTCTGTCCTTCGTTGCACACAATCCTGGGTGCTTGATCCCACATGGCGTCGCATACGTGAGCTTCTTGTCAGCAGGGATTCTGCCAGAGTTCTTGATAAAAAGCTGCTCCTGCTGGCGCTTCCGAAGAACTGGGCCGTAAGATGTCAGTCCAGGGAGGCGACGTCCATCGTGATCAATACAGCGGGCCACAACAGACATGAAGGACTCCTTGGTGAAAGGGGTACGCGCGTCGCCAGCAACATCCACGATGGTCTGAAGCAAGCGCTCCGCTGGGCGAGCTGAAGACGCGTCGCAGTCACTGGCGCCGCCGGTACCGTCGCTAGCTGCAGCCTCTCTCTCAACAGCCCTCTGGTCATGCTTCTTGATGGCCTCTGCTGCCTCTGCCTCCTGCATGTGCTTGTCCATGCGTCTCCACTCCTCGATCCGCTCTCTCCGCCAAGTATTGTACTCAGCGCGAGTCATCGATATGGAAGTGGCTTTCCTGTGCGCGTCCATCTTGCTCAGCCAATTGATGAAACCTGACGCTGGCCGAGTCTTCCTCCTCTTCTGCTTCCCGCCGGCGGTGGCTGCTCTGATGTTGAGACCAGCGTCGATCAGGTCGTGGCGAGTCGTCACGCGCGGGTCGGAGTTGTTGTTCTTCTTGTGTTGCCGAAGACACTGGCCAAGCTGCGCCGAGCTACAGATCCTCTCCAAATCTGGGCCCCCTTGGAAGGCTGGAAGTCAACTCAGATCTGGTCAGCACTACTACAATCTTCTGGGCCAGACCCCGGCAGCCCCCCCAACCCGATATCCCTTAAACGCGCCTGCCATGCGACATTTAAGGGGTTGCCATTGTCCTCCTCCTCCTCCTCCTCCTCCTCCTCCTCCTCCCCCATCCCCCTCCCCCTCCTCCTCCCCCCGCTCCTCCTCCTCCTCCTCCTCCTCCTCCTCCTCTTCCTCCTCCTTCTCCTCCTCCTCCTCCTCATCCACCTCCTCCTCCTCCTCCTCCCCCCCCTTCCTCCTCCTTCCTCCTCATCCCCCCCACCCTTGGGGGCAAGGGGCCTGGAAGGAAGACTGTATGACAAAGACATGTGTCCCTGGCAGACCAGATCCCGAGTCACAGCACTGCCTGGTGAGCGACAAGAGCCTCTCGACGTACATGCCCGTCGCGACGAAGGTGAAGCCCCACGTCGCCACCAAGCGCCGGAAGGGCGTGGACGCTTTCAGGCCATCGGCCGAGCCAAACAGCGCGCCCAACTTCAATGTGAAGTGCTTATCCATGCAGCACGGCTGAGCAGCGCTGTATTGCGCGAACACCTCGGCCTCCATGGCAGGCGACCTCCGAGGGTGGGCGATCTGAGAGGGGACGGCCCAGACATACATAAACCAACGCTTTCGCCCCCCCTCCTAAGGGCACCGCTGGCGGCGATTGTGGGCCCGATTATTCTACCACCCCCCCAATTTCCCAACCCCGCTGGAGACGCCTACCGCCTGAGTGGCCCGTGGGAAGGGGGTCGAAAGTGCTGGCTTACGTATGTCTGGAGCCCCCGAACCTTGGCCCACTTGTATGGCCAGACGCGGTACAACTCGAAACGCCATGCCAAGCCAGATGCGAAGTTGCACGCCACTGCACGTAAGCCCGCAAGAAAGTCGAAGCGCTCGGACTCGTCAAGGAACGACTCTATGATGGGGCCAAGCGGACCAGCAGAGCAGGCAGTCACCATGTGGGACAGCTCCGCGAGGCAGCAGTGCAACGGGTTCATGTCGTCGTTGAACCCACCAGCAAGATCGTACAATAGTTTGCCGCACCCATCCCTGTGCTGGAGGACGGCCATCATCCTTTCCACCGGGTACCCAAGGTAGCATACTTGGAATATTTTCTGCTTGCGCTTCACATCTGACAATACCAGCTTTGCTCTCCATGTTTTCCGTTTCGTCTTCAAGCGAAGTCTGTCAATCTCGGCGCCATCACCTCGAATGTTCGACCCGGCCGAGCGCCAAGAAGGCACGCAAGACGTGTACAGCCTGGAGAGCACGTCGTGGCACGCGATGCCGAAGCAGACCTTCCCCGCGGCTGCGCCGCACGTTGACCAGTCCTTCTCCGACGGGTTGTCGGTGTCCGAGGCCATCAACATGTCGATGGACACGGCCGCTGAGAACATGCTGTCGATGCTCTCGGACCTGTTGGCACAACAGCTGGGGCCCTGGCATATATGCACCACGTTCCCAACCGTCCAGTCTCCGTTGAACATGTCGAGAAATCTGCTGACGTGTTTCTTTCTCGTCTTCCAGCTGTCGGTTGCCCAGAACCCATCTGCGTGCAGCCGTTGCTCCTTCCGCAAGATGGTGTTGTTGGCGATCTTCGAGTGCTTGGCCCGCAGATCGACGCTCGGCTCGCCGATGATGATAATTAGCTCTGCCTCCAGAAGAGCTCGCAGTCCAAGTTGTAGACGCTGTTGATAATCTGGTCGACTGCAGGTCCAATGGATAGAGTATATATCTCCAATTACCTCGCGATGCTGCACTGCTATCAC